GACAGCCCGACACCGGCACATGAGATTTGATTATAGTGGTGAAGGCTTTTTGAAGGGCCAAATACAGAGACCTGGTGCACCGAATGCCACAAGGTTCCCAAACGACCCTCCGCAGGTTTTGAATTCAGAGTTGTCCTTCTCCTAGACCAGTTGCCATCCAAGGCTACAGAACCCAATCTGTCCTGCTATTTTACCCATAGCTGGAGGAAGAGGAGGAGGATTCATACCTTTCCCATTAGTATTAGCACATAAGTGAACGTAACGGATTCGACTGGAATTCGAACTCGGCTCTGTGATTCCTCAATCCAAGCCGATATCCATTACTCCACCGAACCTGCTATCTATATCTATATTTATATCTATATATATAGAGAGAGAGAGAAAAAGAGATAGATAGATATGAATAATCTGAAATAGGTACATATACCTGTTTCAGTCTCTTCATATCTACCTATATCTATATCTATATTATCTATATATATATATTGAGATAGATAGATAGATATGATCAAAATGAAATTTTTATTATATATATATATATATATATATATATATATATATATATATATATATATATATATATATATATATATATATATAAATAGAGAGAGAGGAGAGAGGGAGGGGAGATGCACAAACTAAGATAGGTCGAAATGTGCGAACTGAAATAGATTTTAGATATGAGCAGACTGACTTATATATATATATATATATATATATATATATATATATATATATATATATAGAGAGAGAGAGAGAGAGAGAGAGAGAGAGATTTTCAGATCTGAAATGAAATATATAGATAGATAGATAGATAGATAGATAGATAGATAGATAGATAGATAGATAGATATGAGTAGACTGAACAAGACAGATATGAACAGACTAAAATAGATATAGATAGAGATATGAACAAAGATAGATAGATATCAGAACACTGAGCTAGCTAGCTAGATAGATAGATATGAACCAGCTGAAATAGATAGGCAGATGGGAACAGATTTGGAAAGATAGAATGATAGATAGACAGACAGACAGGCTGGCAGACGGGCGGACAAACCAGAGCAAATTAAGATAGGAAGCAGTCGAATATAGATGCATACCGGCTGTTTTAGATAAGCAAACAGATAGGTAAATACATTGATAGATGAGATTTAGGAGCTGTCTGTAAACCTCATGTGCGTGCCAAATTCGCGTGATAACTCTACTCTTACTTTTCTGTATTGGCGATCAACGCCAAAGTCCCTTTACCGACAGACGGGCGGACCACCACTCGATAATCGAGCCGCATCAACTTAGTATTCGCCCCTGGGGACATCCGTTTTGTTAGCGTTGCGACCTTCCCTCTTTAAAAGCACACAATGATGAACGCGGCTGATAACATAACTTTTATTCAACTGCTCTACCATTTTATTTCTTTCTTTTCCTATTGCACATATTTTCACATGTACCTACGGTTCTATAAAGTGTCGCCCATTTCGTTCTGGCGAATGAGACGGCGAGTGTCTCTTTTGAATGATGTATCAGGTGTGAAGGTACAGAAATGGCGAATGGCTTTGCACGCATGCGCACACGTTACTTATTTTGTAAGCAGGTGTTGGGTGACAGGCGAAGAGCGGGAAAGTCAAAGGATTATTATTATTATTATTATTATTATTATTATTATTATTATTATTATTAAGGAAAATCAAACAATAGAGAAATTGTTTTTCTATTAACTTTCGTGACAAACATGGGCAAGCCATGGATTACTATGGTCAGAAGCTGCTAATGCCTTTGTTGTTGAGAGAATAACGACTATTGACGACGTATCGGAAATTGAGAAGCTCGATACGTTGAAATATACATACACTTAAATATATCTAAGGTTATCCAGTGTTGCCCGGGTTTTATATAATACCTTTCGAGATAATCATTTATTTTTGATTATAATTTTCTTTCTTTTTTCTTTTTTTATTTTAATCCTTGTCTCTATGAAAATCCTAAATAGTCCCCATATTTAGGAACTGGTCACCGACAATGCATGATAGTTAATCTCATAAATATTACTCACTTAGTAAATTTGGTCTTTTATTGCTATCTCTCCTAATCCCTGATCTGCCAACCATTTACACAAGCTCGTTAGGGGGGGGGGTTATGCGCTGTTTTCTTCTGCCCATCTTTCTTTCAATATGCCCTGTGAGTGTCAAATTTTATAAGCCGCCTTTCCTCATTATGTGTTCTAGAAATTCTACCTGTCTCTTTCTGATGCTAAGTATACCGTACATACGTGTGAATAAGTCGAACTCATGTATAATATGACCCATGAATTTTTTTTACATGATTGTAACCCATCCAGAAAAAAATTACCTGTGTATAGTGCAACTGGTCACGATATTTATTTGTACGTTGATACAAAATGTGGCACAAGGCCAAAAAAGGGATTGGGGAAAAGGACGGTCTTCTTCTGTCTTTAACTTTAAATTTAGCTAGCCATAAACACTGACCCAAACATATAAACAATAGTTCTAAGACCAAAACAAGACATTCTTACCTACCTTTCTTACTACATCCACCATAATACCATAGGAAAATCCTAAATAGTCCCCATATTTAGGAACTGGTCACAAACATATATATATATATATATATATATATATATATATATATATATACATGTATGGAAATTTTTTTAGACCTGGATCCTTCCTCTTGGAAAAATTTTTTCTGAAAATATACATGTATGGAAATTTTTTAGATATATATTTTCATATGTATGTATATTTTCCACTAATATTATCTATATATATATATATATATATATATATATATATATATATATATATATATATTAGGTTGCATTTCTATTAGTTTTGTAACCCTGGGTTTTCCGCTTTTTGTGATCATCAGACAAACTGGTTTATTTTTTTTAAAAAGAGGATCTATTCATGCTTATTTGTGTTTGGTGTAGGGGGGGATATGTTAGCTCTATCACAGATATTGACCACTTACCACTAATTACCGCATATATATATATATATATATATATATATATATATATATATATATATATAAGTCAACACTCTGCTAGATGCAATCGTCAGGCCTGACGATTGCATCTATATGAAACTGACTGTCGCCTCTAAGTGTTGACTTCTGTGTTCATTTTATATTTACACACGCTCTATCTCTGATCACTTTACTCTGATCACTTGAGCACTTTATCCCATAAATATAGCACACCTTAAGACTATATATCATATATATATATATATATATATATACACGTGTGTATATGTCTGTGTGTGTATTGTGTATTTATTAATGCTTCATTAATTATGTTTCATTAAAGGCGACGGAAAAGGTACTACGATTAAGATTTTTATTAAATTCTTTCTTGTGTTCGAACAAGTGTTTTTTTTTTCTTTTTGTACACAGTTTGTAGAAACTGCTCAAATGTTCTGTAATTCCGGGCGCTTTCTGCTATATTTTTAGCCATTGTCAAAGATGATTTTATTTTTTCAATTTAATTCGGTGTGTGGGTTGTGTGTATGTTTTTAGTGTTATAAGATGTTTTATTTTTCGAACACAGCGCATTGTGGCTGTGTTTATAGTTAATATTATTAAGTGTGGGCTTTTTCTTTTTATTATTAAGACTTCCATTATTTTAAAGTTTTTTTTATAAGTGGATGACCTTATTATTTGAAAAGTTTCTCCACACTCATTATATATATATATATATATATAATTACCAGGGGTGACCTCAAACTTTGAAACTG